TAAAGATTTAAATTTTAAAAAAAATATATAATTTTTTTATTCCAATAGGGAGCCACATTAGTCACGCCTCTTATGGCGACATATCGAAGATTAGGTGTTCGGCATATAATCAACACTGTTAACAGTTTTCAATTACAAAAATAAAAATTACATGGCAAATTTATATTTGATGCTCATATTTCATTTCAAAACTTTCTAAAATTTATAGAAATGACAAATTACTGCAGAATAGTATTATTTTCCTCCCACAAATTCCAACCGCGCTAACATTGGACTCGTCTGACGTTAAGAGTATGTACTCTTAATGAAAATTAATAGCTGTAATTATTTCTTCAGATACATTTTAACGGTTTCCACTATCTTGCGCTGCTATGGAAACGAATGACTTTAATTATCAATACAGGATATTAAAAAGTTAATTCGAAATGCTGGCTGATTTGATTAACCACACTTTACACCTTGTTATCCACGCAATTAAATATTTAAATCGCTTCAACAGCAGCTACTTTGTCAAACTGACACGGTGCTCATGCAAAATCAACGCTGAAATGAATATTTATAAATTACGAAAAAAAATTGCAAAAAAGAGAATAAAACTAACCAGTAACTACGCGACTGGCAAGCGTGAAGCACGATTATCATGAGCTCACACACACACCTATGTCTGTATGCAAATAGTGATTGCATAATATGCTTTTAAATTAACTGCCGCAATCACAAAGATTATTTGCTTAATTAAGCGAACTCATTAAACGCGCGCGACTGGCCGGTGAGCGCTGTGACAAATAAACAAATCAATCACAATTAAGTGATTGAGAAAAACTACGAGATTGCAAAATTAAAAAATATACGCGATTGCAAAAAAAAAAAAAAATTCGAAAAAAAGTATTATAATTTATCAGCACTTGCAATATAAAATTAAAATAAAAATGCAGTGAAGTAGTTTTGCGAAAATTAAATGAAATGCAACTGCATAGAACAGCATTCAGAATCGCTGATATATGCAAAAATGTGCTGCCAGATTTAAAAATGATTTAAATTTAATAAAATCCAGGAAAAACGTTCTCTTCTGTTTGTATGGCAGATATAGGATATAGTAGTCCGATCCGAACAATTTTTTCGTAGATTACACCATTATCTTGGAAAGTAATCCATGTACAATTTCGAGAAGATATGTTGACAAATAAAAAAGTTTTCCATACAAGAATTTGGTTTTGATCATTCAGTTTGTATGGCAGCTATATGTGATAAAGGTCCGATTTCGGCTGTTTCAGTTTATGAGCAGCTTCTTGATTGGATAAGGATGTGTGCGAAATTTCAGATCAATAGCTCTAAAACTGTGGAACAAGTTCGTGTATACATAGACAAATGGAGAGACGAATAGATATAGACAAATCGACTCAGATCATCTCAATATTATTTCATATGTATGTATATATGTATATTTTATAGGGTTTCAGATTTTTCCTTCTGAGTGTTACAAATTTCGTGGCAAACTTAACATATCACGTTCAGGTTATATAAAAAAAGACGCATATATGTGTATATGTGTGTGTGCGCAATCAGCTTAATCAGGTTTATAAATCATTAAAGTCATATTTATTAAATCGATTTTTTTCGCTACACCGCAATTAAATGAATTCACTCCACCACTCGCCTCACATTTTGCTAATACTTTTTATACGCCATTCATATATGTATGTCTCTGTGTGTGTGTGCTTGAGTGTTTTTCCTGTTTGCTGCATAAATATGACTTTGTTTGTGTTTATATGTATTATATTCATTATAATTTTGTTATAGTTGTTGTTTTTTTACTTTATATATTTGTATATATGTATCTTACGTTCTTTGTTACTTTCTTGTTTGTTGTTTATTAGTTGTTGTTATTTGTTTATAGCATAATACCGAAGAATGTCAAAAATTTGAGTAAACTGTACAATTTATACAAGAAACGATATCGATCCAAATGTACGAAATTGAAATCCGTTCTGACATATTCCGTTTCCGGTTCGATTCAACTACATTTACGCGCTCGCCGCTGGAAACGTTTCATGCGCAGCGACCACTCGTCCTTCCATTCGAGCACCACGGAACTGGGTCCGATGGCCAAGTAGCCGGGTGCGGCCTCCGAATCACGTCCAAGTATTAAATATGATCTGAAAAAGAGGTGGTAAGAGAGACGAAGAGATAAAGAATTGCTTAATTTGCTAAGTTATACTATTTGATAAAAAATAATCTAGAGTTTTAAGGTTACATTACAAAATCTATAACTCTACTTAATTAATGATAAAAAAAATCAAATTGCAAATAATAACAAAATTTGTGCCGTGAGTGTTGGAAAAAACCTTTTGTTGACCGCTTAGGTTGTCAAGTAACAGCTATTGCATAGCAATCCTAAGAATTGATCAAAATGACATCGGCAAAGCGCTTTGAACCTGCCACAAATGTGTAGAGGCGATTAATATCGATTCTAATAATGCGACTATTTCTTAGACGGTTTGACTATCGAAATCTTTAGAAAAATAAACTTAAGTCTACCAAAATCTCGAGGGTTCGCTCAGGCAACTTGTCTCACAACGGGGAAATAATCAGTGAAATTTGGAAAGTTTTACAGTTAACTACCTAAAAAGGGTCCTTTATAATATACGGTTAATTAATCTAGTCTTTATTATGGGCTAAGTAGCCAATCGTTGTCCGCTATAAAAAATCTCGCATATTTCAACAAAAATATAAATATAAATAATAATAATATAATAATATGATCATTTTATTATAATAATGACAATTAGGTTTTCTTAATCATATACTAAATGAAAATAATAAAATTTGGTACAATATCACTCTATGCATAAGGTTATTTATTTCTTTCTTATTAGGCCAAAACTAGATAATATTGTCACAGTATCTACAACTAAAGCTACCTGTGTTGCTATAGATATATGTGCGTATATAGTAATATTTGTGATAAAATTTCCAACACTCACTTGTTCAACTTAATTTTGGGACACTGGCATTCGAGGCTCTTGCGCGGCACCAGCCACATCATATGCCCTCTGCCCAGCAGCGAACTCGTTGTGCCCTGCAAAGGGTTGCGCTTGAAAATCGTCTGTATATTTATTTCGTATTTGAAAATTTCATTTTGTCGTTCAATCGAAAATTTCTCCGTATTGATGTCCTGCGAAGCGCGGTCATGCCCAATGACTTTTGCTAAAATGGCTGCAATTGCGGGAAATTGCAAATAAAAATAAAAGAGAAAAGAGAAAGGTGGAAAAATGAAACGTTGGAGTCAGCATAAATACAATTAAAATTGTAATGGCCCGAGGGCATGAATGCATGCATGCATGAAATTCATTAGAAAATTACAAAACGATAAGTAAAAACAAGAACAACTACAATAGCAAATGCGCCAAGGTAACTCATACGTACCGTAATCCTCCATGCAGAATTTATTCAAATTGAGTTTTTTCGGGCTGGCCTTGCATTTGCCGCAATCTGTTGAATATTAAATAAAAGTTAATTAAATTTCAAACTCCAATGCACTGAGCCGGACAGTTCGATGAACACATGACAGCGCACCAACAAACACCCGCACAATGACTCATGTATGGTATATGTTCATATGTTTGTTTTGTATGGATGTGTGTTTGAAATAAAATTAGTTTGTCGCGTTGGGAATTCGGCAAATTTCATTAAAGTGAAATGCACTCTAAGCACTAAATTTGCTATGAAAATTTGAATACAAGTGTGAATTGCATTTCATTTCGTACTTGTGTGTTTGTTGGCACTCAACCTAACCTCAACACAGCACTGCGAGTGAGTAGTGAAAAAAGGGTTGCCTTTGCAGTTAGTTGATTATTACAATGCAAATTTGGCAAATTCAAACCGCAGCAATGCCACAGCGAAACTTATTCGACATTATTTTGACACTAGCTCGTACACTTTGTGGCGCCACTCCACGAAATTACTGCGGTCACCGCTTTTTCACTGCGCACCCAAAACTATTTTGCTTACATTTTAAACTTACATTTTTTCATTTCGTCATCGGGTCCAGCGGGTTCTCGGTACTCGCTAACCGCACTCTCCGCTTGTATCATGTTCGCTTTTGACGGTAATTCTATTGTGGTTGAAAGTAATTTATATTAGTTTGCATATATTGACTTAAATTTTTACTCATTTTATTTTCTTTTATCTACTTACTTATACAGGGTGCCACATGCGAGCGTGTTTGCTGATAACCCCGCGCACAGCGATTGCACGTCAGTCCGGTCACGCCCTCTTTGCAGGGGCACTGACCGCTCAAATGGTTGCAAGTTTTGCCGGTAGAGCCCACAGGATGACAGTCGCAACCTGAAAATAAAGAAAAATGTGTTAACAGAATGGGCATAAAGTTCGGTAAGTCTATATTGATTTGTTTAAAATATTTATTGTATATTTTTAATTTAAGAATGTGTGAGATTTTTCCTGAAATTTCTAAGACAGCGGACGTAGTTGTCGAAAAATTACTTAAATAATTACATAATTACCGCTCTCAAGGTCGAGGATTCAAACTTTGTTATAGCAAACTTTAAAATGGAGAAAGTGATATTGTAATGGTGTTGTCAAACATGTCGGGTCTATATACATATTTCTGACATTGGCTGTTTTCTAATTAATTACCAGACTTTCTTCCCGAGTGTTTAAAGATATTGCCCAAAACTTGTTCTCTCAAGTATGTAGCCAAACTGGAAATTTTATATCTATAGACATTAAGGAGACTTCTAGTCCAGAAGTTTTTTTTTTTCTTTTTTTAGCTTCAAAGTTTAGCTATTCCAGAATACATATGTCTGTAAGAGGATTTTTCAAAATTCAAATTCTTGTCATGCTGGTTTGGCCGGAGCTGAAACTTTAAACGAGTTTTCTCGAAACTGTATTTTTCAAAACGATACCCACGTTTTCTCAGATTCGACTCGGTCAGTTTAACTGAAAATTTTATAGAGTCTGTCCTCTGTCTACTATTGTAAAATGTGTTTGGCAAAATCAATTTTTTCCATTCAAAATAGCTTCCTTCAAGGTTGATGCACTGATTATAGCAACCCTCCCACGTTTTAATACAATTCCTGTAGTATGATTTGTACTTTGCTTCAAAAGAGGCCTTAGTTTCGGCGATCACGTCTTCATTCGACGAAAATTTCTTTACAGCGAGTATTATTTTGAGATCATCGAACAGCAAATAGTCGCTGGCATTTGGGTCTGGAGAATACGATGGATGCAGAAGCAATTTGAAACTCAATTCATGGATTTTTGCTATCATTTTCACTGACTTCTGACATTGTCTTCATGAAACAGCACTTTCTTTTTCCTCAAACACGGTCGTTTTTGCTCGAAGTCGTCCTTAAAACGGCTCAGTAACGCTATGCAATAGTCGCTGTTGATAGTTCTTTCTATTTTAAGGTAGTCCATAAAAATCATAAATACAGAAGCCATAACCTTATCAACTGACTATTGAGTTTTTCCACGCTTTGGAGCGGGTTTATCGTGTACAGTCCAAGCGGATGACTGTGCATTGGACTTCGGAGTGAAATGGTAAAGCCTTGTTTCAATTGTTGTCACTAATCGATATAAAATCTCAGTTTTATTTCTCTTGAACATCTCCGAAGACTGCTCCAAATTATCAACTCATTGTTATTTTTGTTCAAAAGTGAGCTCGCGCGACACCCACTTTGCACAGAGCTTTTCCAAAATATTTGTAAATGACATGAAGTACACCTTCAGCTGATATCTATAGAGTACCTGCTACTCGAACAACTTCACTTTATGGTCATCCAAATTGAGTTGTGGACTTTTTTATGTTTTTGTCAGACAAGTCATCAGATATGAACATCTTTTGGGCGTCCATTACATTCACCATCTTCGGTGCTCATTCGTTTTACCACATCTAAACCAATTTTTGAGGTTAATTTTCCTGAGACTTACCGCAAACTTGTCCTTAAGCCCAGTTTTTGCTTCAACTATATTTTTTTCTTAAAAAACCAATGTTTTATCCACAGGCGAACTTCCTTCTTATCTATTTTTTCTCCATAACTAAAGTTGCTTCACTCAAAACTATATAATTCGCAATCGATGGACAGCTTTCAAATTTATAAACGCGCCTTTGAAGGTTAGTGCAAACTAAAAATCATATGCATTTAATTGTAAGAGCATAATATACATATGTATGTGTCAGACCGGGGACTTTTTGATTGACTTGTTACATCGGTATAATACAAGACTGATGCAATAACAAGCTGTCACATTATTTTAATAAAAGTTCACAACCTCTCCTCAGCAAAAGCCAAAAAAGTACGATAATATCTTCCCAAAATTTCTTCAAAGATTTTTGTTATTTTATTACCAATTCTCACTATTGAGATCTCTAAATATTCGCTCTTCACACAATTCATCAATTTTCTCGTTACTAGCATTCGCTTCTCTTACTATATCTGACTTATTTGCATAACTAACTCTACCCCGGTTTACAGCTCTTAAATCATAGTATTTTTACTGAATTTCGAAACTTTTTTGAAAAAGTAGTGGTTGGTTTCTACATGTAGTAAAAATATTAAAACTCCAAAGCTACTTTAAAAAGTTCAAAGACCACTTAAAACCCTAAAATTCAACCGTTATTTCTGCACATATCTTCTTCTTTTTTTTATCTCCCCCGTTTGTTTGTCAAAAATCACTTAAGGAAACGCCATCAAATCAATGCATTGAACTCAAATGAAATCTGCTTTTTTCTTCTTCGTAAAGTCGAAAAGTGCAAGTAATTTAAAATCAATTAAATTCCGATTTTGATGCTTTTATGCGTTTTTATTGCCCATTCCCGCCGCCACAGCAAAGTTGAATAGCAACGCTGAGCGCGTAGGGCTTATTGTGGGCATACAATAATGACCAACAAACAAAAGCGAAAGCCGAAACAGACAAAATCAATGCATAAGCAATCGAAAAAGTGTACTCGCCTCCGCTAAATGGAAAACGAGAACTCAATTTCAGCGAACTCATAATATTCATGTAGGAAGGGCCGCAGATAGCAAGTGAATAGCAGCGATGCCACGCTTAAGCGCCTAAAACCGAAAGCGGCAAATGAAACTATTGAAAAAGACTTCGGGAATAGATTACATACAAATAAAATAAAATTGCTAGCAATAACAATAAAAGGCGAGGTAATTGAGATAGCGACTGGTAAATACGCTTTGCGGTGCTTTTAGATACAAGTTTTTCTTTGGAGCATATACTACATGTGTGGCGCACTGTGGAAAACAGTGTTGGGGAAATGTTGAGAAACATAAGAAAAAACTTTGATTTATGAAATTTTAGAAATAAAATGGGATGGTTTCTTGTTACAAGCTATTTACAGTAAAATAATTCGTTTCAGGAGTGTAAAAAATATTATTAATATAGGCTTCGGTCAAAATAATGATATTGAGTAGGTAATCTACACTAAGACTATAGCGACACCACACACTTAAGGTTAGTGTTTGCGTAAACCATGTTTACTTATGTCTATGCTATCTAAGTAGGGACGTAACGTTAACGTTAACTTCAGTTGCACCGAAGCTATAATAGCCGTACATCTTCATTTCCCACGACTTGATAGTGTATAAAAAGGTTTTTATCTTGATTTTGATCAGCCAGTCCGATCTGAAAAATTTGTTCTGAGATTATTTTTCATACAAAAACTTGATTTCAATTGGTCAGTTTGCATTATAGATATTCATATAGTGGTTCGACTCGAACATTTTTCTGAGTTGCACCACTGCCATAGACAATAAACCAAGTCAAATTTCTTGAAGATATTTCGTCAAATGGAAAAGTTTTCCAAACAAGCACTTGTTTGCAATCTTTCAGTTGTTATGGCAACTATATGCTATAGTGGTTTCGACAAATAAGTAGCTTCTTGGTGAGAAAAGACCATGGGTAAAATTTCAGTTCGACATCCTCAAAATTGCGGCACTAGGTCAGACCTCACGGTCGTCAATGATTACGATTTAAAAAATGTTTAATGACATAACTAAACGGCATCTAACTAGTGGAGTTCCGTTAATGAATTGTAAATATATATTCTATAAACAACAGAGTGAAACTGTCGAGAGACTAATTCGGCTGAATTTGGAGAAATTATCGTTAAGGACCTAACAAATTAACGGTCTTTAACCGAACTTATATTAAGGTCCTTTCTGGTTCCGTATTTACGCTTTCGTAGTAATGATTTCTGGATAAGTATGAGAACTTCTTAGCAGAAATTGGGGACCTGAATCTATCAGCTAACCCTAATAGTGAGGATAGGAGAAATTAACCCTTCTCATTTAGAAAATAGAAAAGCATTGATAAAACGTCTTATTGATATTTTATGATACCGTAAGGCAACCTTTAGAAAAGTTTATAACAAGTGGTCAGTGGAAGATGGTGGTCCTCCCCACGAAACGAGTTTAATAGCAGATACTTGAAATTTACGAACAACGGATTATACGTCCTATACATAAGCATATTTCCAATTCTTTTGTCAACCCTATACTTTTAATTATTTCAAGTACCACACTTGTCTTCGGCCTTTCTACTGCTTTCAAACAATGCTGTGAGGAATGAAGTCGTAAGAAAAATATATCTTGAATATCTTTATTTTGTACTACTTTTCACGAAAAACTTTGAATCAGATCTCCTTCCTCCTCAGAACTACACTCTGTTTCGTCTACATTCCATACACAATTTCGAAAAGGTGAGCTTACACATGGTTTTTGTTGCTGTTGTTTGTTTGTGGGATTATTGAATRAAATTCCACTCGAACCGTCTTAATCGCTGTCACTCCAGCACTTCAACTCATCAACAGGGAACAAACTTCCCAGTACTTTTGTGGTTGTTGTTATATTGTTACTATTGGTATTGGTATGGTTGGTGCTAGCGCGAAAAAACTGTTGTCTGATGGATTATCAGCTTTGGAATTGAAAAGGAAAATCCTTCAATGCTAACAACAAAACTTTACGCCGCAAATACTTGCGCATCACATTCTCAATGCCGTTACAAAGAAGTTCAGGTATCAATGTGTGTATATATGTTTGAAAGTTTATATGTATGAGCTTATGGGGTTGCCTTGGTATTACTTGTTTCGATAATGTTTTCAATGATGACAACGTCTAATTCGAAAGCCTTCGCTGATGTGTGGGATTTTGTATTTGTTGTTGAATGAGCTATCGTGACGAATCGAACAACAATTTTTCAGCAAACTGCCTTTCAATGCGTCATGCATGAGAACTTATGCTTAGATGAGCGTTTTCTTGTTGGTATGTTGCTAGTGTTAGTGTTGGTGGGTAATTGTTTTGTGGGTGAATTTAAGGAATGTCATAAACAACTTGTAATTTGTTCAACACACGCGATTATCT